TGGGACTCAGATGATCCGGGTTCGAGTCCCCGCTCGGCCATGGAGCCAGCTGGGTGACTTTGGGCCAGTTGCAGACTCTCAGCCCAACCTACCTCACAGGGTTGTTGTTGTGGGGATAAGATGGAGGAGGGAAATGATGTAAGCTGCCTTGAGCCCTTTGTAGGAAAAAGGCAGGATATATAAATGGAAAGATAGATAGGGTCACAGGTTTTCCACTGCTCCACCCAAGCCAAGGATCTGTGAGATCTAACCATCAAACCGATGGACGACCCCAACCCTCTCCTTCTTGTCTAAGCTAGGGATGTTTGTGGACCATACTCCGGCCTTCTGCAGGCACTTTATCTGGTCTTCCCCACAGTCCCCAAAATGCATGTCCAAGCTGGGTGGCAAGAAATCCTTGTGGCGGGACTTCTGAACTTAGAGAAGGGAGATGGACAACTGCCCAGTCTCCTCCCATTTGCAGATGAGCCACATGGGAAACTCCCCATCATTAAAGGCAACGGCATCTTGTGGAACTGGACCATACCAGTGGCCAACCACCAGCTGCCTCCAGAAAGCCCAAAAGCAGGACATGAAGACAGAGGCAGAAGCTGGAGGAGCTTCCAGGAAAGCGGCTTTCCAAGGGAGAAGGGAACACACGTTGCCACCACCCCACCTGCAAGCCACAGAATTTCCCGCCACAGGATGGCGTGATGAGCACCCATGTCGATGGCTTTAAAATAGGATGAGAAAGTCATGAAGGAAAAGGCTAGCGGTGACTCCCAGTCCCGATGGTTATTTGGTACCATCTGCACCCGGGGTGGCGTGCGTGCCAGTTGCTGGAGAACCTGGGCAACGGTTGCTGGAGAAAACGGCGCCATTGCATTCACACCCCACTTGTGGACTTTCTGCAGGCAACTGGCTGGCCTGGACCAGGGGGACTTGGTCTTGGTCTGATCCAGCCGTGCTCTGGTGGCCGCCTTCTGGGATGATCACTCAGGTAGTCAAGGCAACATCTGGCAAATCTGTTACGAGACTCACTTAAGTTCAGGAACAGCAGGAAATTAGCACCCCGAGAACATTGGAAACTAATCCTCGGATTTATGTGAAGGTCTCGTGAAACATAACTGCACCTGCCTTCCCAATATCAGCTCTTCGAAATTATTTGGGGGAAGAGGGGATGTCACTGCCTTTATTACAGTTTGATGATACAGAACTTCACATCTGGTTCATTTTCAAGAGAGGAAGGCTCTCTAAAGCTGGTGCTTTTTCCATCTCTTCGAGTTTAGAAATACTATGCCGGGTGTTTATTTCCACCTAACGTGGACCACACGTGAACAGAAATATGGGACTGTATCCAGCGTTCATATAACCTATGATCCACTGATGTCCTAGTCTTAAGACACACATTAGAATACCGCAGCTGAATGCCCCATGCCTGGAAGGGGCTTGTTGCGTTGCATGAAGGACCATGCAAGGACGCTCAGATGTTGAACAAGCAGCAAAGCTGGGAATGTCTTACAGATGGTCTGGAGAGCCACCACCAGCCAAAGACAACAGATTGGGCTAGAAAAGGACCAGTGGGTAAAGGCACCTCCCCAAGTTCATGCTACTAATTCGTTCTGGCCAGTGCTTTTTTTGTAAAAAAAAAAAAAAAAAAGTGCTGAAACTCACCTCTTGGGGTCACACTTTGACACTAAAAAAGATTTTCAATTCACCAACTTTTTTTGAAATAAAGAACTTATTTACCTTTTGCACGTGGCCAGTCACTCTACACACACATAAACATAATGGTCGCTGCCGGCAGTAAGCACTCAGCACGGGACCACACGACCGATCCCAAGCCGAGCAGCATCCCGAGCTGAGCAGCGCCCTCACAAGCAGCGCCGACACACACGCAGCCCGCAGGCACTATTTTGATGCTTTTTGCTGCCGACCTGCTATGCCCGACAGGGTGATTCACAATCACATGGAAAAATCCATCAAAAAAAGGTGCCGGAACACCGTTCCGGTGCGTTCTATGACCAAAAAAAGCCCTGGTTTTGGCAGCTGCAAGCATCTCATCTTTGAACAGGTTGGAGAACCTCAAGAACTGAGTGAAGACCAGTGTTTTTCTCCCTGAGCTGACTCAATCTGCAGACATTTAGAGGCTACTTGGAGGCTAGAGACCAGGGCCTCTTCCATCAGGCCGGTCTACCACTTCTGTTAGCAGCCGGGTCCCACTTGGCCCCTATCCTGGGAGAGGCATGAGAGAGAGACCATCCCTTCCACTGGCTTTGCTGGGACTAAATGCTATTGGTTCCTTCCTTGCCTGGAACTGTCACATGCAGAGACCTCTGTGCCTGATCTTGATGCAAACCACGTTGTGACACTGGAAGAACTGGTCCCTGAGATTGGCTTGTTCTTTTTCCATAAGTGCCATGATAAAATATAGCCCACCTTTAAGGTTTTGGCAAACGAGGTTAGTTTGCAGGAGGAGGGGATACAAAATAGAGCCATGCTAAAGAATTTGGGGATTCGGGTTTTCTGGAAGCTCCAGACCAGGGAAAGGATGTTTCTGGGCATATACCTCTGCTTGTGATCTCTGGCATTGTAACTGCAAAGGATGCCTTGGTGTAGTTGGATAAATTCAAGGACCAGGACTCGGTGCCGCTTGCCACAAATTGCTAATACCAAAGACCCATTTCCGCAAGTTCTAAAGGTGGAGGATGGCCTGCGTGTTATGAAGACTCTCGGTCTTCAGCAACTACTGAAATAGGTGTCAGGAAAGGGCATCACGCGGAGCCATTTAGAGAAGTGGTGGAGCTCAGTGGAGACTTCTGCTGTTTGTCCGCAAAAAGCCACCGGTTCAGTCTGCAGCATATCCTAACCATTTGGGGGAAATCCATTTGCTCTAGAGAGCTGCTGCCAGTCAGTGCTGGCAATACTAAGCTAGATGGAACAATGATCTAATTCAGTCCAAGGGGCTTTTTCTTTACATGAATACACACCTTACTAGAATCCTTTCCCCAGTGGGAAGCTGGTCTGTTTCCCTTCATTCAATTTCTTACGGGGTGGGTTGCCATTGCACTGATCTTCTAATTTGGGTTGCAGCAGAAGAACCTGTGGTCCTTCAGACGTTGTGAGATCACAACTCCTGTCCCTGGTTGACAGCCAGGTTAACTGGGGCTGATGGGAGGCAGGAGACAACAGCCTCTGGGGAGCCACAAATCCCTGCTCCCCCGTTCTCCCTGATCAATGGCCCACACGGGAAGCTCTCTGCAGCGGGCACAAGGAGCTGCCCCAGCAACACGGGCAGAGGGCTCCGTAACCCTTTCCTCCCTGGAGCAGAGCAGCTGTGGGAGACAGAGTCCTGCCTCTGGCACGCACTGCTTAGAAAAAAAAGCGAGCAGGGGAGACATGGCAGAGGTGTATGGCGTGGAAGCGAGACCTTGTTTTCTCCTCTTGCCTAATACTGGAACCCAGCGAGGTCCATCCCATGAAGCTGCCTGGCGGGAGATTCAGAGCAAATAAAAGGAAGAGCCTCTTCACACAGCAGAGTCAAACTAGGGAATTCGCTTCTGTGAGATGTAGCGGCGGCCACATTTGGATGGATTCAGAAGGGGCTTGGGCAAGTTCATGGGGGAACGGTCTATTGAGGGCTGCTAGTGCTGGGGGACACATGGGCAGGAGGGAACCGTTGTCCTCGTGGGCAGCTGGTTGCCCATGGTGTGAACGGCACGCTGGACCAGATGGGCCCTTGGACTGACCAAGCATGGACCTTCTCACATGCTTCTCCATGAGCCGGGACACCTGCCGACCTGTCCAGCAAGGCACGTCTAGCAAAGCTGATGCTGGTACTCCTGGCGCAGGACAAGCAACTCCGCAGCCCTGTGAGGGCAGTCTCTGCTTGCATGGGAGGAGAACAGCGAAGGGCTCCGAATCCTCCGGGGAGGGTTGCATTACGGATCCGGAGAGAAGCCCTGGGGGACAGACCGAGGGCCATTTTGCAACCTCTCTCTCTCTCAAAAGGAACAGAGGTGTGGCTCTGAAGTCAGTCTGCCTAACTGGACAAAAACACCCCCCCAAAAAATTCCAAGCACAATCTGGAGACAAAAATTCTCTCCAAGGCAGGTCTTCCTCGTAAACTTTTTAAGCATCCCTTGAGAGCTTTCTTTCACAGCACGCTTTACCCACATCGCAGGCACAAGGATCGTGCCAGAGATGCAGGAAGGGCTGGCAAGCGCTCCGGCCGGCATTTTCCTTGGGTTCGCATCACTAAATGAAGTGCGTCCAGTTAATCTCAAGAAAATGTGGTGGTGGAGAGTGACGTTGCCAGCCTCCTACCCTCATCGCACACAGGCATTGGCAAAGTGCTGGCCAACCCACAAGGAACACTGTCAGCAGCCAGTCTTTTCGAACAAGGAGGACGTCTGCGGATGCTTTCGAGACCAGCAGAGATGGAGCCGTCTCGCTCAAGAAAAGAATGTTTTCTGTTTTAAGTTTTGACAGCATTCTGGAATGTTTCGGGTCGCTTGTCCTTGAAATGGGATTGTAGAGGGCTCCGGGGTTTTTAGCAGCTTCGTGGGGGCTCTGCACAGAGAAGACCATTGACGGCAAAGAAACTTGCCTAGCGTACTGCCATCTTTGGAAACTGTCATCTTCCAAACTGTCATCTGCCATCTTTGGAAACTGTCATCTTCTACATCGTCCCAGGAAAGGACCCTGCAGGTTCTAGCATGTTGCTGCTCGAACAGGGTGCAGTGAGGATCAAAAGGCCTTGTTAGCCCCCAAAATAAATGGAATGTACCCTCTCAAGCCCCTTCCAAGACTCTCCGTGTCTGCAAAAAACAAACAGGGGTTCCTTGGCAGACCAACCAAGAGCTCCCAATGGGAAAACAGTCTGAAAACTAGTGGGTTTTTTTTCTTTTTTCTTTTAGCAGGATGGTTTCTTTTCTGGTTCCCCAAGAACTGGCTATATATACAGACCAATCACGTACATACACATGGATTGCTCCACAGACACAGCGAGCTGATAATACTAAAATAGCAAAATCACATTTTATTCTGCATGGAAATAAACTATACAAAAAAGTCTCCGTTTTGCCAAAAAATACCAGCAGAAAAATCTCCATATGACATCTACATAAAAAACAAAACAAACAAAACACCCTCTTTGTTGCTCATTTTAAAGTTTACAATTCATTTCCTGGAAGAAAGCTAGTTTTTTTTTAAAAAAACAACTTACATACAGGTCTGACTATTATATGCCCATGGAATACAGTTTCTACACGATGGTTTCATTCCCCAAAGCAGTTCTCTTCCATTCATAACAGCACACGATGTTGAAGAGGGCCTCTATGCAGGGAATCCAACAGAAGAGGAATCGCAGAAAGGCCATCTCGCTCAAGCGAGTTGAAATTATTAAAATGCACCTCTGAACTCACAAATGCATCCCTTGGTCAGGGCCACACAAATATCCTTGACATGTGAAGAGGGGAGGGGATGTGCTTGTCTTTCAGCCCCCCCCATACTGAAAATCCTCTGTGTGGCAGCATCAGAGGCCCAGGAATTCCTGTGCGATCTAATTCCAGAGACGGAAAAGACATCAAATTTGGACAACAGCATTGCTGTGTTTGTACCGGGCCAGGCTTCTTCAAACTGGGGCTCTCCAGCTGTGCTGGGACTTTAACTCCCAGTGTAGCTGGCTGAGGAGATGCTGGGAGTTGTAGTCCCAGCACATCCGAAGGGTCCTAGCTTAGGGAAGGTTGTAATAGGCCAAACCAAAAGGCATCCCAATAGTTTAAATTCACACAATTTAGTGTGTTCTTCCTGGTCAAGAAGCAAAAGGACAATCCATCTGTTTTGCTAATTTAAAAGGGGGTCTTTTCAGTTATTTGACTGTAAGTATGGCTGAACGTAAGAGGACCTTCTGTGCACTTGCACAGGGCTTTCTCAAAGTGACGAAATAAAACTCCATTCCACTTTAATGGCAAAAGGGAAACCGACGCACGGTCATACCCAAAGCTTAACATCCTGTATTCTTTTAGAGCTTTACAGAATAATTAACCAGAGCAGATCAACAAGCAAAACAAAAACCGCTCTGGGTCAACTGCTCACAGCTTCTTTCGAAGAGACACACCTAAAACGGAAGAATCCTCACAGCAATTACTCCACTGCCTCGGAAACCCTTTCTCTTAAAAAAACAAAAGGAAACAAGAGGACCCCAAACAGACCAGGGCTTCTTTCCCCCTCCCCATATCTGTTAGGTCTCCTCTGTTGCTTCTGAACTGTTGGATGGGAGGAATTCTTCTTGGAATTCCACTTTGACTGGATACAGTTTGATGTACGTGTCGACCATTAAATCCAAGTCATGTTTAATATCAAAGTTTATGTTTAGCAGGGCAAGGTTACTCGACCTCTGCTCAGTCAAGGTGTTCTTTAGGTAGGCCTTCAAGCGCCTCCTGCCGATTTCAAATTTCTCATTCTCCACCTTCATAACTGGGAGGATGCACAAAACCTTGAGCAAGGAATACACGTTCGGGAAGAACTTGATATCAGGCAGGTGGAGGGTTTCGTAAATGGTTGTGGGAAGCTCTATATCCTTCCCGCGGTGCTTCCACTTGATCCGCCAGCAATGAAGTTCTGCAGACAGCGTATCCGGATTGGTCAGGTCGTTTTTGTACATGTCGGCATGATGCTCCTCCGAAGTGTTAAATTTGAGCTGCCCCATGACGGAGGGCACCAAAGACAAGCACTTCAACGCCCTCAGGTGCTGCTCAGAGAAGATGTCCTTCAGTTCCTGAATTATGTGCTCCACGGTTGGAATGCTAAGTGCTTCTTTGTAGTAATTCTCGGGGGTTATTTCGGAGCCCAGGTTCCCTTGCTGGGCTCGGCTAAACTTCCCCGGGAGCTTAATGGGCAGGTCCAGTTTGGTTGCCAGGTTTGTGGCTTCCTCAAACCAGAATTCATGGTAAACTTCAATGTTATCCATCACTTCATTCAGGGAATGCAACACGGCCGTTAAGCTGCTGGCCGCGAAGAAGACATCCGACGTTTGACCCTGGAGGTTCTTGCCGAAAGCCCGTGTGAAGGACAGGATGTTCTTGATGATCACGACGGTGACAACGAAGTCGAAGTCGGCGAGGGCTGTCGCGAGTATGTACGCCCGCCCCGCGAGCGAGCTGCTCCACCGAACCGAAGCCTCGTTAATGCCGTCCAAGCATAGCACCAGTGCCTGGAGGAGGTCCACGACAATCTCAAAAGTATCATGCCGCTCCGTCCAGTGGGAACGGACAATTTCTTTTAGCTCGTTCCCCTTTCCTTCACTGTTCTGAAAGAGGAGAGAAATAACATTGTCCAAATCCACAAGCAACTGGGGCGACTGGTGGAAAAACACGCACACTTCTTCTATGGTCCCCAGTGCAATGGAAATACCCAACACAGGAACTGATTTGGCTAGCCAAATGTTCAAGGCACAGGAGGAGGAGAGGGTATATACAGCCTGGGGGTATTTTTCCAAGATCCTTGTCGCCACGGTCTTCATTTTTGAAGCAAAGCCGCTAGAGACAATGTAGGCTTGTCCCCGGCAATATTCCATGTTTAAGCCCCATTTTTCAGTTATGGTTGTATGGAACTTGACAGCTAAGATTTCTGGGTCTGCCTCGTAAGGCAAGAACCCAATGAACTCTTCCCTCAGGTTGTGGGAATCATCGACGAATCGCACCAACACCGGCAAGTGTTCCTCACTGCCTAGATCCACCACTTCATCCGTGACGATAGAGAAGAAGTGAGAGTCTCTGACTTCCCTGAGCGTTTCTTCCCGCACGCAGCTTTCGCAGATCTCCAGCATCTGCTTCTGTTGGGCTTTTGAGCAATAAGCCAGATTCACAGCAGTCGTCTCAAACCGCTTCCTCAAAACCTCATCTCCAGAATTTATCCTGAATTCCAAGAGAGCCTGGAAATTGTCTGGAGTGAAGATGCCTTCGGGGAGTTCGTCGGCATTGTGGCCGTCCAAAGGGATGTTTTGCCTCCCCATCAAAATTAAAATTTCAAATAAAGATTTAAGGTAGTCTTTGTTTTCCCTCTCCTCTTGGGTTAAAGGGACATCCTCTTCTACTGGCTCATCAGCACCTTCATCGGAAGCTGGGTTCTGGATGTCGTTGTCGACAGACTCCTGATTGGTCTTCTCCTGTTCAAAAGCTTCGTCAACTAGGAGAAGAGAGATTTAAACCGACAGTTAATATAGAAACACCAAAAACATCAACTCACCACCTTTAAGCTGATGAAGCTGCCAAACATGTCAGCAGGTGGTAGTGCTGACATGAAATCAAAGACAGGTGAGACTCTTGTTTAAATTAGAGTTTGCACAAGTTTGTTGTACATTTAACAGAAAATAAAAAGGTAAAGGTAAAGGTTTCCCCTTGACGTTAAGTCCAGTCATGCCTGACTCTCAGGGGCGGTGCTCATCTCCGTTTCCTGGCTGAGGGAACCAGCGTTTGTCCGCAGACAGTCTCCGTGCTCATGTGGCTGGCATGACTAAACACCGAGGTGCACGGAACACTGTTACCTGCCCACCCAAGTGGTACCTTTTTACCTACTTGCATTTGCATGCTTTCGAGCTGCAAGGTTGGCAGGAGCTGGGACAGAGCAACGGGAACTCACCCCCTTGTGCGGGTTCGAACCGGCGACCTTTCGATCAACCAGCCCAGCAGCACAGCGGTTTAAACCCCTGCGCCACCTGCAGTCCCTTAACAGAAAATACTCGACGCTAAAAAATATATTAAAAGCCCTAGGTTCTATCCGGCTGTGTGTGTCACAGTACTAGCAGTCGCAGGCGTAATTTCCACTTCGGAGCACACTCCCAGCCAACAGCCGTGTTGGGCAGTCCAGAGGCACCAACTTGGAAGGTGGGTGTAGCCGCTCGGGCCAGTCTAACGCTAGAGAGACCTGGGTTCCCACAAGCTTTATGCAGGACCGCCCTTGAGACAGGTCCAAAAGCTGCAGCTGGAGCAGAATGCATCAGCTGGCCTGGCGGAACTGCACTGGCTGCCTGTTTGCAACTGGGTCAGGCTCGAGGTTTGGTGGTCAGTGCACAAAAAGGGATGCGGTTACTGGAGGAACTTGACATGCACATGGTGGGCACGTCATGAGTGGAGCCGGCTGGAGCCAGGGGGTCAGACTAGATGGCCCGGGGGACCCCTTCTGACTCACTCTATGTTTCTACCTTCTTCCTTCCCGGCCGCTGGGATCGCACCCAAGCACACCTGATGAGGCTCTCCTGCCGGCATCATATGGAGAGCCAGTGCGGTGTAGTGGTTAAGAGTGCAGGACTGGGACTCAGGCGATCCGGGTTCTAGTCCCCGCTCGGCCAGGGAGCCAACTGGGTGACTTGGGCCAGTCACAGACTCTCAGCCCAACCTACCTCACAGGGTTGTTGTTGTGGGGATAAGATGGAAGAGGAGAATGATGTAAGCTGCCTTGAGCCCTTTGTAGGAAAAAGGCAGGATATAAATCGATAAATAAATAAATAAATAAAATAAAAATATGCTGCCGAGATCTTTCAGCAAAGGTTTGGAGCAGGGCATCAAGCAGTCGGGATGGCCAGGGCAGCTTATTTTATATTGTATGTATTTTATTTTAATGTTTGTATTTTTAATTATAATTATTTAACTAATTGTTGTAAGCCGCCCCGAGGCTTTGGCGAATGGGGAGGCATAAAAATGTTTTAATAAATAAATAAAAACAAATAAATGTGCGAGGAATCCCGTTTTGTGCAGAAAATCCCTCGGAATCCCTGAATTTGGTTTTCACGGACTGCACACTGGGAATTGAGCCCTGCACACCACAAAAGCGGCAATCTTTTTTGTGTGTGCCACTGGCACTGACAGCAGCAAGAGGAGAGAAAGATCAGCTGCCAGGAATGGCGGCCAGCACACCAGCAAGCAGCTCCCCGTTCTCATCCTGCAGCCACTCCTGATGGGGAAGGTTGCTGGTTGTGCAACGGGGGTCCACAAGCGGTCGCTGTCTTCCTCTTGACTCGGCTCGCCTTGCAGGGCCAGGTCAAGCACGAGGGGAGGTCCGTGGATTCCGCAGGAACAGATCCCAGAAGGGCCTGTCCCGGTCTGAGTGCACCCCATGTGAAACGACCTTTCCCCCTGAGATTAGATGCACATTAAACATACTTAATTTTAAATCTTTCTGCAGGCCTTCCCAGCATATCTTAGCCCTTTCATACTTTAATCCTGGGATGAGTGGAGATAGCTGATTGATTCTAGGCATTGGTTTTACGTATTTATGATTTGTGTTCACCACTTTATAACCCACTTACATCGACACAGTTTAAAGGGTCGTAAATAGAAAGATGAAGTTGATGCAGTAATTCTGGGCCAGTGTCTCAACCGTGTAGCTGTGCTGAGTGCCATTTTTTGGTGGAGAGATGAGTATGATTCAAATAAAAATGTGCAGTATACCCCACAGGATTGTTAAGTGTGTGGGGACCTGTATAAATCACCCTGAGTTTTAGCAGAAACTGTAAGGCAGCAGTGCAATAAGAAATCCCGTTTTTCGCAGAACTACTAATTCAAGGCCTTTTGAAACCCAAAAACAGGAAAACAGAAGTTTCTCTCTCAGCCAAGCTTGGCTCCCTGATCAGTATTCTTGTGGGTGACGTGTTTGCAAAGTCATTGTTTTCATTGTCTTTATTTTCCCACCATTTTAATGTATAATTGGTTTTATTCTGGGTTTTATTATTGAGGTTGGATGCAGTGCCTTGTTCTGTTTTATATTTTCATTTTTTTTTCTTTTTCTTGTAAGCCATCTCAAGACGCTTGTAGTGGACAGCCTATAAAAGTCATTGATTGATTGATTGATTGATTGATTAACACCTCTGGTGAAGATTTTACAATGTGGCATATAAAAGCTTTGGGCTTCCTTCTCACAATATACACATCTCCCGCTGACATCAACCAACGTGGTGTCGTGGTTAAGTGTATGAGACTGCGACTCGGGTGATCTGCATTCTACTCCCTGCTGGGCCATGGAGCCAACTGGATGACTTTGGGCCAGTCCCAGCTTCTCAGCCCAACCTACCTCACAGGGCTGTTGTTGTGGGGATAAGATGGAGATAAGGAAAAGGAGAATGATATCAGCCACTTTGCATTCTTTAAAAGGAAAAAAAAACAGGATATACATCTAATAAATAAATACCACTTGGCTGGACTGAGTCCAGCATGCCAGATTCATAATCTAGAAGTAATTAAAGCCTTTAATATCATTAAAGAAATGTATTAATTTGGTCATTTGCCTTTCCTTGAGCGAGACAGCAGCTTCAAGGAGACTGACATGTTCCACAGGATAAGATAGCCATCTTTCATAGGCTGATCACTTACTCTTCTGTTGCTTTAGGGTTCTGATTTCTTCTTCACTCTGGGGACAGAAAAATAAGATGTTAATGACCCACCGAAAAAGTCTGCCCCCTAAATCAAGACATCATCACTAAAAATGGACTAGTCCTATAAACCCAAGCCTTTTAAATCCAGACATATTTTCAGCACAGCAGGATTAAACATTCAAAGTCCTTGGCAACATGGCACAACCCCCCCTTCCCCCACCGATGCTTTTCCAGCAACTGAGATTTGAAGGGCAGCGAGGAAGAAAGTATGAAATGCTGTAAAATATAAAGAGGGTCCACTGGAGGCCGAGGCCAAGACTATCCGCACAATTAAATCCCCCATCACGACGTATGTGTGAAATCTGGATCGCTGATGGGAAGCCAAGGGATGGCGGTTGGAACACAGTGTTGGAGGAGACCTTTGTGAGTACCCTGGGCAGAGAGAGAGGGGGGCGAGCGGATCCTGGATCAACCCAAACCAAAGCTTTCCCTAGACGCGAAAATGAGAGAACTGAAGCTGCCATCCCTCGGGACGTTACGGCAAGGCAAGACTCACTGGAGAAGCCCGTAATGCAAGGGAGAATCGAGGGTAGAAGGAGACGAAGAGCAAATAGGAGACGGAGGGGCTCCATAAAGGAGCCCCAGCCCTGAGTTTCCAAGAGCCGGGCAGGGCTGTCCAGGACAGGGCATCCGGAAGGACACCCATTCAGTGCAAGATGACCTGGTGCCACGCAACAACAACATCGCGGATTTTGAAACCTAGCTCCTGAATGCTGCATTGTGTTTTAATGATCATTGTTATTTTATGTTGCATTTATATTGTCTTTTAAACTGGCCACTGGGCGATAAAGAATAATCGTAACGATAATACTGATGGACCACGGAGCGACCACAAGCTGCGGCTGCAGCACAAAGGCCTGGCTGCCAAGGGCCGAGAGTATCCTGGGGGGCTGCTCTGTTGGCAGGTGAACTGATGGAGAAGGTCCCCATGGCAACCTTGTCTACAGCAGAGCAAATCCAAGAGATGGCTGTGCCACGTCTTCCTGCAAGGATGCCCATACACCTGCCCTGTGCACCCACAGAAGCTCCCGGTACCATGCGAGCAAAACTTTCAGTTGTAGAATTCAGAGTCGTGCCCTTGCAGAGCCAAAATTCTCATTGCAGAGAAACCAGCACACTGTGGACGGCAAGGGCACGGACCCCTTGTGCATTTCCCCTCGTGTTCCCAACACCAGTGATTCCTGCCAGGTGACGCTCACTCAGGATTCACAGTCTCCCTGAAAATTTCACAGGCAGCCAACTGCCCCACTCTGGCGATGCTGCCAAACAGGAGGCGGACCCGGCAGATTGCCAGTTTCTGCAAGGTCATCACTAAGCTTTTGTTTAACTGGGATGGATTTCCACAATGCCGTATCTGATTATCCCCTGACTGCAAAAGCGGAGCAGAAACCCGCGTCTTCCCACTCACACGACGCAGCATTAATGCTCCAGACTGCGGAGGAGTCCGGTGCTTTGCCACAGCAGGGCCCGCCACTCCCTGCCCTGGTACCGCCTGGGACTGCAGCTCCGACTGCGGCACCTGTGCATGTGCCACGGACTCTTAACAGGTGCATGTTCTGCTATCCCCTGTGACCCGAGAGGCTGAACCCCCCAGGTGCGGCTGGTACATGGCGGGGGCGAGTGGTGGGCACTGCCGAAACACCAGGTGGTCCATCATCCCGGCACCTCGTGGCGGACTGGAGAGCTGCAGCAGTAACGGCCTGCTCCGTCCTGCCTCGTGCGCATTAACCAGGAGGGGTGGCACATGTCCCAGACCGCGGCTGGTCAGCAGCACGGAGGGGAGGGGAGGGAGGGGAGGGGAGGGGAGAGGAAGGGCGGAAGGAGGCAGATTCTTCTCCGAGGGAAGGGACGCACAGCAGAGAGGCTGCTGTGGGGGGAGATCTAACATGGAAGGACGGATGGGGGGGGAGCTGAACAGAGACTGCGGAAGCAGAGTCAGACCCCGCCGGTTTCCCTTATTGCAATGTCCACCGCTAGATCAAGGGGTGGGGCTGTGTGTTGCTAAGGCCCACAACCACCCGGGTGGATCGTTATGACTCTCCCAAGCTCCGTGCTTATCACACAGCATCAGGCACCTGCACAGCAATGGCAGTGCTCCTCAGGCAGGTGGAACAGTGCGGCAAAGGGATCTGGGAACGAGCAGGAGGATCAGACGAACGGTAAAAGTTATGACTATGAGATGCCACTTCCTGCTACTCCGCCTCCAGGGAGTTGCGCCCCTCACAAACCTGGAACCCGTAGCAGGTGGGCATGCCAGTTTAAAAGCCCTACAGGAGGACCTGCAGCCCCGGACCCTACGTGTTAACCAAAGCACTCACCACACACGTCCCGGAGAAGCACCATATGATGGCCCGCACCAGTAACAGAACTGCGGGCAGGAAACAAGGCTTGTCCTTCTTAGCTATACTTTGTACATTGTTCCACCCTTTCTCAGAACTCTGCTTCCGGTTTTGCTAGGAAAGGAACAGGGGAAAGGTACAGGCGAGACTCTGATAGTGGAGCAGGCACAGAGGAGGCAGTGGGGAAGGTCTAATCGGAGGAGGATGCTCTGCCGTGGCCCCTGCCCTCTCCCTGGGGAGCCTGGCCTGATGCTTCGGTGCATCGGCTGCGTTGCCCCGGCCTCTGAGCAGCTCCACCACTCCATGCCCTTGGGCTTAAGGGATCAGTGCCTGCGACAACCGGCTGGGAAGGAAAGAGGTGCTGGGGTGCAGCCCCCACTGGTTGCTCTTTTGCAGGCTCGTGTGGGGCCTGGGGGGGCGAGGGAGGGCTGGGGTGCCACACTGGAATGGCTGCAGCACAGGCTGGGAATGTGCACCCAGAAGCGCCCCCTGAAGGGTGACAGCTAACATATGGAGAACTTCGGTCTGCCGGTCCAGGATGGCATTCCGTTCCCCCATCACCCGCTCAAAAGTGCGACTGCAGGCTTCGCTCCCATCCCGGAGCAGGCGTCCCGAGCTGCGGATGCTGTCGGCTATGTTCTGCATCGACCAAACAGTCAGGAGTCGCTCGCTGGCTCTCCTCCGGTTCTCCTCTGCGTTCAGGTCCTCGAAAAGTCGGTAGGTCCGCTCGCTGGCTGCTCTGGTGGCTCGCACCAGCTCCTGAGCAAGCTGCAGGCAGTCGGTCTTCGGCTTGCTCTGAAGATGTGCCCTCCGCTGGGAGCGAGCGAGCCCAGAGGCTCCTGCGGCCCTCCCCTGGCAGGCCCGGCGGCTCCCAAGCCCGGCTCCCAGAGCAGCTGCTGAGACTGCTCTCCTGCAGGAGCGCCTTCCAGGTCAGCCGATTCCTCCCCTCCCTCTTCTGGGGGAAAGGTGCTGAAGGTCGGGCCACTTGGTCCTGCAGACGGCTGGTGGAATTCATGCCCCGAGGGCAGCGCAGCACTGCCCGTGGCAGCCAATTCAGAGGGGGCCGCTCTGCCAGGGTCCACCTTTGCTTGGGGAGCAAGAGCTCCGGAGGACTCCACTGACGACTGCTGGAAGCAGCACTCTTCCTGGGGAAGGTGTGGCGGAGACGCTGGAGAGAGAAGAATGCGCTCTTCGCTGCCCACCCGTCCTTCTTCCCCACGGTGGCAGAGGTCAGGCTGCGCTCTCCTGGGAGACGTCTCCCACACCGCCGGGCAGACAGCAGCACCTACATCTTTTGTGGGCACAGAAGCATCCCTGGCACTGCCTTGTGTCAGGGAGGGTGGCTGTGGAGTCAAAGAAACTTTTCTCGGCACGGCAGGAAAGCCTGAGGGGCTGCCCGGACGTGGGGAAGAAGTCCTGGGGGAGCCTTTTCCAGACGCAGAATCAGCAGCTTGCATGGGCCACAGTGGGGGAGACTCCGGGTGGGCAAGCGCACAGACTGGCTCAATGCAGAGGCTCTTCCGGGGTGACGCAGCTTCAGCAGAACAGGGGAGAGCAGCGGATGGGGACCTGCACTGCTCCGGAGGGCTCGGGGCGGGCGAGCACCCAGGGCAGGCGTCGACGCTGCCAGCACCCTCGCTCCCCACAAACTGCTGCTTGGGCGCACCAGGAGGCAGAGTTCCGCTTTCTGGGGAGCTCGTGGGATGGCGCCTGGGTCTCCCGGGATCTTGCACAGGAATTCCATGAGTGCGGGCACGGCCAGGAGAAGCCTCTGGCCCCCCGAGCAGGAGTGGCGCCGGCTTGTCGTGAAATGGCCCGATGCACAGCTGTGCCCCGGGGGACCGCTTGCATGTGGGGATGTCCTAAACCGCCTCTGCAAGCCGCACAGCTTCTTCCCGCACTGCAGCGGGGGGCACGCGAAGCCCCTGCGTCTCGGCGCCTCAGAAAGCCACGGGAACAAGGTCTCCTGCCTGCAGGCTTCAGAGCGCCCCCGTGCTCCTGGACTGCCACGCGGGTCGAGAAGCAGGCCGACCTCCTTGCCGGGCCAGAACTCCGCACGTGGCCCCGCACTCTGGCTCTGCCACTCTTGGGCAGCGGGTGCTGCAGGGAGCGCTGCCGCGGATGGTGCATCCGTCTCCTGCGATGCCTGCGTAAGAGGATCGGGAGAGAACAGTGAAGCAGAGAAGGGCTCCTCCGTTCCGGCGGGCTTCCCTAGCCTGGGGCGAGGGCACTCGCAAACGGGCGCGTGAGCCGGCGGTGCCTTGCGTCGGGCGGGCATGCCCACACCGTTTCCCAGCAGGGTGGGGGGCAGAGAAGGAATTCTGCTGCAGCAGCTGCAGCTACAGCCGTTTTGCAAGGCTTCCGTTCCACTTTGTTTGCAGACTCGGCACAAGGAAGAGGCGACTAAGCGGGGCAGAATGTGGCAGTCTTCTTCCAGAATGTTTACTCCGGAACATTTCCGTCCATGGGGGGAAGGATTTGCAAGAAAGTGCTTGAGAAAAGGGCTACAGACTTAAAGGAGAGCATGATTCACCTACTGAGGCAAGTAACGAAGTTGAGTAAGGCAACGTTTTTACTGGAAATGTGTCTAAGGATCAGAGGGTGGCTGTAACATATGGGCACCTAACTGGTTTCATGGCTGAAAAGTAAATAGGGAGCAATTGAAAATCATGTGGCAGAGGTTTGAAAGTGAAATTCATCCGCTAAGGCAAGAAGCATCTATACAAGCCAAGAGAGAACCGGGAGGCGGGGTGATATGATGGGGCAGTGGCTCAAGACTTACAGAGGAGTAAAATCCACCTACTAAAGCAAGCAGCATCTGTGAAAACCAAGGCAGCGGATGGGGCAGGGGAAGCTCACCCCTTTTCAAGCAGGTGCAGAGAGCCAGTGAACCCACAGCTGACATGCTGGAGAAACTGGCAAAGGGAGGGAGGGGAGGGAGGGGCAAAGGCGAAGCCAGGACTTCCACAAAGGTTGGGGGAAATAAGCATGCAGAGTGGCCAGGTTTTGAGCCCCTCTAGTCATCCAGCTTTATAGCCCGTTCTAGCAAGCCATACCAAAGCCCCAGTGCTGAGTTTGAACATCACGAGAAGCCGTCCTGAGAGCAAGCTGCCACAAACAACCTGGCGAGAAGCCAGATTCTCGGGGTGGCTTGTGTGTGGGTAGCGAGCGCTGCTGAATCATCCGTGCCGGGTCCGCACATTATAATAAACCATGCTGATGCAAACAAGGCTCACCACCCAGAGTGGCTTATCGTGTTGCACAACTTAGTTAAAGCCTAGAAAACATGGCATTTCAGCATAAAAACTCCACCTCCTCTAAACCGACCGTTTTGATCCTCAACCTTTGGAAAGTTCTTCAGCGCTTAGCCAACAAACAGGTGCCCCAGAGATGGTCCATGGAACCGCACGTTCACCCTTTGATCACATTATGGTCTACCTTGGGTGCAGGTGGAAAGCTCACCTCCCACACTTTGCCAGTTCTTGCCTGGTGCCCAGCCCACAGATCCCACCCGCAAATTATCAGAGAACAGCAGTGCATTCGGAGGAGACAGGCTATTTTTCATTGTGCTAGGCATCAAAAGCAAGCCTCTCTCCACATGCGTGCAGCAGACTCAGGGGTGAGAATCTTGCCAGACCTAAGCCAGGCTTTGGGAAAGTCTGAACTGGTGGCAAGCACAGCAGTGACCAGATGCTAAACCAAGCCCAGACAAGCAAGCCCCTGCCTCTGACCCTCTGCAGCTCCCACCCTGCAAGGTAGAGGAAGATTTGAATACTACTGGCAACAGAAACAGGGGAGATAAATCAGCCCAGGAGGCATCGTTTGCAGAAGGTTTCCCCCAACAACTGGGGATGGATCCATGCCTGGTTGAAACATGGGCTGGATAAGTGCTGCTCAAATGAAACTCAACCCAGACAAGACCAAGATGCTATTAGTGAGCCATCTTTTTGGCCAGAAGGAGGATGTCCAGATCTGTTTTGGATGGGCTGGCTTTCTATCAGCGTTGGCCAGAGGCCCAGCCACACCCTTATGGGGACAGGGCCAGCCTGGTTTCAGAAGCGGGCCGTTCAGTCGTAACCACTGTGGCCACGATCACATTTCACACAAGAGTGAGCACAGGTGAAAACGAGCGGAGGATCCTAACGGAGGACGTAGCAAAGCATTCACATGTTGCAGCTGGAACTTAGAGAAATGCTGAGGGGGGGGGTTCTGGGGCACCACGTAGGAGAGAGTGTGTGCTGACATGCCACTGAAGGGTGCCTTCAGGTAATTCTGCCCTCACCTGCTCTTTGGACCTCACAGCCCCCGTTAGCAACCTGCACCTCAGTCCACGCCACACCTACCAGCTCTTTAATCCTCTTCCTGTGCCTGCTGTGCGGATTGTTCAAATGGCTCGTGAGGTCAAATATCGTGGGCACAGCGTTGTCTCGCAAGACGGTCCTGTAAGGGCTCTGCAAAAGAAAAACAAAGCTCTCCTTTACCAGGCACCTCTGTCGCATCTCTGAGCAGGGCAGGGAGTGCCAGGAGACAGTGGGCCAACGCAGGAGGGTCCCTCGCACCACCTAGCCCTCCATAAGCCCTCCACGACGGAGTGCTCCCGCGCAACCCCACAAGCCTCTGCCTGGCTCACCAGTCAGCCTTTAGCTACAATGACGACCAACTCCTCTTCTCCCTTCTAGCCTTCTGCCTTGCCCAGGGGCCTGAGGGGTAATGGAAGGGATCTCTCTTCCTTGACCGAGGCGATGGAGACGCCAAGCAGCAGGCCGAGAGCTTCGCTTAACTGGGGAGGGCCGGAGCTCAGTGGCCGCATCTGTGGCATGCATGCATGCAGTCCCCGGCTCTTTTCCAGGCATCTCCGGGACAAAGTGTCTTTCCAAATCCCAGGAAGGCAACTGCTGCCAGTCAGCTTCAACAGCGCTGGGCAGACAGACCTGTGGCCTGACTCAGGACAAGGCAGCCTTCCGACATTCCACCGTGTCTTTGCTTTGCCGAGGCTTGGGACACAGCGGGTAAGACCCGGACGGTCCCCCAAGCCTTTGTGCAAAGAGGGGTGGTGCTGAACTTCCAGTCACTTGCCCCCGGAGCGTCCTGCTGCCTCCTACCCTCTCCAAACCCCCGTGCAAATTGGAGCCTGGCGGAGGGGATGCACTGTGCCACAGGGCGCTTTTCTCTAGCAAGTGGAATTCGTTTTTTTAAACATTTTTTATCCTGCTCCTTAGCCTCCCCCTCTCCACACACACAAAGACTCGCAAGTGGCTTACAGTCAGTCCCCAGAAGAAGAGAGTCACCACCCACAAGCTTACAAGCTACAATCTAAACAACAATGCGCAAGGAGAAAGGGATGGTGAGGAAAGAAGTGGGGGGGAGGGAAAGACTTTCTGCAGGGCTGGTGGAACGGTCCTGCTTGCCCTTGCTTCTCCTAGGGACGAAGGGAGCAGAGTCCCACTGGAACAGGCCCTGGTGTTCTACCTGTTCTTACCCCCCTTGTTCCGTCTTTCTTCCCACGGGGCCATTGGTGTCATCTGCCCCATGGAGCATAGGGCAATCCACTGGGAATCGCAAAGCATCCAGCCATCGGAGGCCTTAAGTGAAGCTGGTGCCAGGCAAATTTTGTGCAATGCTCATATGCTGCATGCAGGATCCCTGAATAAGCCATTCTCAGAGGGCTTCATGGAGGCACCCAATGCTTGAAAATATCACCAAACGTTAGACAAGTGTAGTAAAAGGAAACCTATCTTCCTCTATATCCCTTATGTAAGTTAATTCACTTGGCCATCTAATACATTAAAAAAAAAACATTTTGAGGCCGTAAAACAAAATGCAATTTTAAACATGGAATTTCCCCAAGGAGAGTCTCAGGCAAGACTCTTCACTGAAATCTAGTACTTCCAAGAAGCAAGTTTCCACCACCGCTTTTCCCCAGCACACGCCACAGCAATTCCCAGAGCACCACTCCACTCCTGCATGTTTTCACATTTAAGTAATCCAGTGAGGTTTGAAAGCACGGAAACAAGCTAATTAGGCATGCACAGGAGACAGCAGAATACAATCCACAAACTCCAGTTTGTGACAAAATCCAAGAGCTTGTAAGTCTTGCTATGCCGGGCAGAACCAGTCAGCTAGCTACAGGCAATTAATCAAATTGCAAAAAAGCAGGGGAAATTGTCTGATGAGACTCTCCTGGCTCCTGTTAAGAATTTATCTCCAACTTCTGACATACCATAAAGTGGAAAAAGAGAATCCAGTTACACTTTATATAGCAAACAGAGGTTGTTACTGCTGCTTCCTGTCACTTACACTTCGACATATCATCGATGTTTCAAAGTGTTTTGCGCAGAGTCGGTAATGCTTGTTCAGCTGGTCTGGCGTCTTATCTTCAAGATCAGCTCTTCGGCAGTTCTCAACCCAGCGCTGACATCTGCAAGAGAGACCAATTTTAGCTCCTTGGATACTTCACACAACCACAATTCTCAAACCATGTGCTGGAAACAAATAATAGCAATTAAAAGGTTTCCGTGAGCCTAATGTATCAACCACAGAGAGGACTGTCTGCTCCATCTCTGCAGGACGGACTGCTCTGGAAAGAGAAAAAGCGGATTAGTCTCCGAGGGAAGTGGTCAGTTTCGCACTGGACCCGTCCAGAGCATTTAACATGCAGTGGCACTAAACTGGACGCAGGCGATACCCACCTGTTGCATCTCTGGATGAATCAGGAGACGGCAGCCAGAGCAGTGACCCATCCAGAAACCTCAGTGGACAGGCACTTTGCATTCTTTGGCTCCCTAAAAGTCACACTTTCAAGAGTGTTAAGAATGGAGTGAGCCTCTGGTTTTATTCAGAAAAAGTGCTTTGGTTATGAAAAAGGAATAGCAGAACTCAGCATTACAAATGCTTGGATAAATTCTTTGAAATTCATGCCTGAAAACAGCTCTAAAGTTTACATGCAGTTTTAATTATCGGCCTCAAGGAGAAATAATGAAGTAGCGAATAGAACTTCGTTTCAAAGTTCTATTTGCCTTCCTCAATCTACAACCGCTGTGTGGTCAACTGCAACTCCCTAATACCCAGCCAGTATGATTGGGAATGATGGGAACTGCAGTCTAATACCTCCAGAGGTTGGCAGACTGCCTCACGTTTCATTTCATTATTTATTTCCTCAAACTATATTTCAACTGTCTGTAAGAAAAAACAAAGTTAAAGAAACTGTTCATGCATGATGGCCTATGGACAGGAAGTTATGTCAGAAAACTACGGGGCTGTCATGACTTTTGTTATTATTTCCTCGTTGCAAATTCACATATCTTAAATAACAGATCAGATAACAAAAAATATCAATATGCTTGCATCCCCTGGAAATAAAACGGAAGAGATCCTAATTGTGAATAACCTGGCCACATTTATGGTGTGACCAGGTCTAGCTTAGTAAATTCTATTATTTTTCAACAAGAACTTGTAAAACATACATAAGGTACTTTTAGGAGCTGGTCCATATGAATACATTAGAGGGTTCCCACATGGAAGCCTGATTATTTCTGTAATAAGCCATGCCTACTATTTTGTCCAGCTGTATAAATCAAGAAAAAAGGACAAGGAATCAATTAATGATAGCTTTAGATACAGAAATTATAAAATAAAATATAAATATATTTGTAACTTATCTGGCTTTTAGTCCCTGCTTGGCCATGGAGTCAACTGGGTGACTTTGGGCCAGTCACTGCCTCTCAGTCCAACCTACCTCACAGGGTTGTTGTGTGGAGATAAGACTGAGGGCAGGAGGAGAATTATATAAGCCGCTTTAAGTTCACTGAAAGGAAAAAAGCAGGATATACATTTTATTTATTTATTTATTTATTAAAACATTTCTATGCCGCCCCATTCGCCGAAGCCTTGGGGCGGCTCACAACATAAATTAAAATACAAGAAATAACAATATAAAATAAGTCGCCCTGGCCAGATAAAATAAGCAAATAATATTAACAATTAAAATGACACTTAAATAAAAAGGTCTTCACCTGGCGCCGAAAAACAAATAACGACAGCACCAGGCGGACCTTTATTAGATATACATCTAATAAATAAATACCTGACCTATAACTTATGACTCTAAAGTGTCTCCTGAAACACGTTTACAGAGTTTCAAACTATCCTCAAGAAAAAGGACGCCTTTCTGAAACTTTGCATTTAAATGTTGTTTTCTCATCAGCAGTTAACACGCACAAACAGATGTCAGAGGTGCACCTGACATCTCCCTGCACTCAGAGGTCCCCTCCTAGTCCTCCCTGACATCAAAACAGAGCGAGTCAGAAGGGGTCTCCTGGGCCATCTAGTCTGACCCCTGCCTCTCGCCGGCTCTGCTCATGATGTGAGAGTGAGAGTGAGTGAGAGAGAGAGAGTGAGAGTGAGAGAGAGACCACATCTTCCCCAAGGAAAATGTTCCATTGTCATCCTGCTCTGACAGTCAGGAAATACTTCCTGATGTCTAATCTAAATCTGGTTTCTTTCAACTTAAGTTCGTTATTGTGTTTCCTGCACTCTGGAAAGGACGAGAAGAGATCTCGTCCTTCCTCTTTGTGGCAGCCTTTCAGGTGCTGGCAGAGGGCTCTCCCACCGCCCCGCAGTCCTCTCTTCCTGAGGCTGAGCATGCCCAGTTCTCCCAATCTCGCCTCACTGGGCTTTGCCTCCAGTCCCTGAATCGGCCTGGTTGCCCCCCTCTACCCTTTCTAGCTCTTCCGCATCTTTTTCAAACCCAGGTGCCCAGAACTGGATCCAGGGCTCCAGGTGAGGTCGGACTAGTGCCGAGCAGAGTGGTATTAGCACTTCCTGTGTTTTGGAAGGGATGCTTCTGTTCATGTAGCCCAAAACAGCATTTGCCCTTTTTGCAGCTGCGTCACAGCTGGCTCATATTTAGCGTGTGATCTGCAACAATCGCAAGCTTCTTCTCATTCGCAGTATTTGCTGAGCCATTTTGGAGCAATGCGTTTGGTCTCTTGTCCTAAACATTTGTATTCCGTTGTTCGCTGCCTATCAAGGTTGCCCTGTGCCTTATCTCTGTCTTGCAGGGTATTTGCTGTTCCACCCAGCTTTGTGTCACCTGCAAATATAACCATCTTTCCTTGTGCTTCCTCACCTAACTCAGCACAGGGCGCTGCAGCTGTATCTGCAAATGAAAGAGAAGCGCAACAGTCCCATAAAAGGGTACAGGGCACATCGTGCTTCGGAGCACCTCAGGTTTGGGGGCATAAGCAACAGAGGTACAAGGCCACGTTTGCAGGGAGAGGGGCGAGAGGATGGCCTGGAGACGGACCCCTCCGCTCTCTCTGCTCATTCAGTCAGGCTCCAGGAGAGCAGTTTCACCAACACATTCAGCTCTGAGACAGACCCCCCTGCAGGACCCCCCCTCGCACCCATTCGTCACCCTACTGCCCACTTCTCCCTTCCTGCCCCTTCAAACTCGCCCTCTTGTCTCTCACACGCCATGTGTCACCCGGCGCTACTCTCAGGGAGAGACACATCAGCCCGCATGCGCGTACAGGCGTGCGGATACGTGTGCGCGCACACCTCACTCGGTGTGCGTCGACCGTCATCAACCGATTCCGCTCGCAGTCCTCTGCTGCACCTAGGCATTCTGACGGTCTCCCCCACGTGCCGCCCTTACTTGACACTCCCACCCACAGGACACCCCGACACACAACCAGGACTTCCCCACATGCTGGGGTCAAGCCAGAGGCCACCTCCAGCATGCCCTATGTACTAGTGGTCTCATCCTTGAGGGATTTTTTAAAAATCCATGCACAGGGCATCACGGCCCCTGTTGGCCTGCAGATAATACCATTATTTCCAGAGTGGGATAGAGACAGGAACAAACAGGCACATGTGTATACCGATAAATCCAAACCAGTTCTCCCAAACACCAGCACCAACAAGTGCGGAGCACCTCACACTGAAGCCACTGTTTTTCCTTATCACCACATTATTCCAACATACTCAGATACAGACTTAAACAGGAGCCACTCCCCAGGTGGCCTGAGGGAAGCTGTTATTGTAAACAGAAAGGGAACTCACTCTCCTTGTCTTTCCAACCTCACAGAAGCACTAGATAGATGTATTTAATAGCAAGTAAGGTTTCTTAGCTGTAATCCTATGCATGTCTAGACAGAAAAACAAGGTTAAAAAAAAAAAAAACTTCTGGCATGCCTGTCAGCAAAGGTGGCTGGCCCATGCCAGGAGTTATATCCTGTTTAAACATGCATAGGATTGTGCCTCCATGGATCTTTTGTAAGGCCATACAGTTGCCTTCTTCTTTACATATTCATTTAATTTCTACATTAACCAATACCCAAATTCTCGGCCAGTTGCTAAAACAATACCATAATACAATAAAGCAAGCATAAATGAGCTCTAAAATACAAAATGTAAAAACATGTTAAGAGCTCATTACCCACATTACCCACATTCATACAGACATTCATGGTACAATATGGAGGTAATGATTCCAATTCCCCTTCACAGATCACTGCCCTGCCGTGGCAAAGGGGCTTGCGTAGCGCAAGGAAGCTATGCGCGATGCCGTGCAGGGGCACCCAAGATGGAAAGCTCATAGCAGAGAGCTCTGACAAAAGGTGATCTGCCGGAGAAGAAAATGGCAACCCACTCCAGTATCCTTGCCATGAAAACCCCATAGATACTCCCCAAAGCCTAAAAGACAATGCAGTAAAAGTGCTACACTCAATATGCCAGCAAATTTGGAAAACTCAACAGTGGCCACAGGATTAGAAAAGGTCATTTCATTTCACATGCTAGCAAAGTTATGCTTAAAATCCTACAAGCTGGGTTCCAGCAGTATGTGGACCGAGAACTACCAGAAGTACAGGCAGGATTTTGAAGAGGCAGAGGAACTAGAGATCAAATCAAAAAAAAAAAAAATTGCCAACATACGCTAGATCATGGAGAAAGCTAGGGAGTTCCAGAAAAACATCTACTGCTGCTTCACTGACTATGCTAAAGCCTTTGATTGTGTAGATCACAACAATTTTTTATTTATTTATTTATTTTTGATTTATATCCTGCCTTTTTCCTGCAAAGGGCTCAAGGCAGCTTACATCTCCTCCTCCATCTTATCCCCACAACAACAACCCTGTGAGGTGGGTTGGGCTGAGAGTCTGTGATTGGCCCAAAGTCACCCAGTTGGCTCCATAGAGGTGGGAGTACCAGACTATCTTATGTGTCTCTTGAGAAACCTATATGCAGGTCAAGAAGCAACAGTGAGAACTGGACATGGAATCACTGATTGGTTCAAAATTGAGAAAGGAGTACGGCAAGGCTGTATATTGTCCCCCTGCCTGTTAAATTATATGCAGAGCACATCATGTGAAAGGCTGGACTAGATGAATCACAAGTAGGAATTAAGATTGCTGGAAGAAATATCAACAACCTCAGATATGCAGTCAAAACTGCTCTAATGGCAGAAAGTGAAGAGGAACTAAATAGCCTCTTGATGCGGGTGAAGGAGGAGAGCGCAAAAGTTGGCTTGAAATTCAACATTAAGAAAATTAAGATCATGGCATCCAGTCCTATCACTTCCTGGCAAATAGATGGGAAGAATTGGAGGTAGTGACAAATTTTATATTCTTGGGCTCCAAGATCACCACAGATGGGGACTGCAGCCAAGAAATTAAAAGACGCTTGCTCCTGGGGAGAAAAGCTATGACAAATCTAGACAGCATACTAAAAAGCAGAGACATCACCCTGCCAACAAAAGTGCGTACAGTCAAGGCTGTGGTTTTCCCAGTTGAAATGTATGGCTGTGAAAGCTGGACCATAAGGAAGGCTGAGCGCCGAAGGATTGAGGCCTTTGGATTGTGGTGCTGGAGGAGACTCCTGCGAGTCCCTTGGACCGCAAGGCAATCAAACCGGTCAGTCCTAGAGGAGATCAACCCTGACTGCTCTTTAGAAGGCCAGATGCTGAAGACGGAAGTCAAATACTTTGGCCCCCTAATGAGAAGGACTCCCTGGAGAAGAGCCTGATGCTGGGAAGGATTGAGGGCAAAAGAAGGAGGGGACGGCAGAGGATGAGGTGGCTGGATGGGGTCACTGAAGCAGTTGGTGTGAGCTTAGGTGGACTCCAGGGGATGGTGGAGGGCAGGAGAGCCTGGAGGAATGTTGTCCATGGGGTCATGAAGGGTCGGGCACGATTTTGCGGCTAAACGACAAAGCAATACAATACCAATCTACCTTACAGTTAATGTTGCTACCATTGCAAGGATAATATTGGTGAAAGACTTGGAGCAGTGCAAAGCAATGTAAATATTACCAGCTTAAAAAGCCTTGGCATCAATCAGTGGTACCAGGAGTGGGCCCAGTATAAGGTGAAACTGGGGACAGAACCCAGTGTAAAAGTATGCATTCTACTACTGACCTAA